CTTCTGTGGTTGAAATACATATCCTATTTATCATGGAAGCAACAGAGAAAAGTATCCCTGTCTGTCAGACAACTTTTGGTGCAAACAGATGGAATAGAGCCCAGAACTGATTCCCAGACTGCAGGCTGATGCCAGTCCTTTGAGAAAAGAAGGCAGAACAAAGGCCGTTACAGAGCTGGGAGAGAGGAATGCAAAGGTCAAGGGGCTTGCCGCCTAGGTCTCTCCTCCCAAGCTGGGGCCTGACGATAACACAGAACAACTGAGGGAACACTCAGAGATGAGTAGCCACTGTAAATGTGTTCTAAAGCATCAAAATCCTACACAGAAATAATCCCCCATTTAACAGAAAAAAGCTCTGCAACTAAGAATCATCACACATACTACATCCAAATCATAAGTTCTAGGAGAATAATAATAATGTAAGGCACATTTATTAAAAATTATTGAATGTGACCCATAATGTACATCTTCAGGTTGCATTCTTTAAAAAATAACTCAGCACTATGTCGATGGCAAGCAGCAGGCTGGACCAGGCTACTTAGTTAACCCTCCTTTGTGTAGTTTGTATCTGAGTAGAAGATTATATTTACAGAAAGTAACATTAAAATGCCCTCACAAGCCCCCACAAAAGGGCTTAAAAGAGTTGACGTAATTTAAAAACTGAAAGTCAAAACACCAGCTAAGTAAGAAAAAAAAAAGGGGGGTAGTAAGAGTACTAATTTTCCAGTTACCTGGATAAGAAAGAAGTTGGTTGGATAGTTTTAGGAACCAATAATTTATTTAATGCATAAATTCATCACACCGCTCTCTTCTAGCACCCAAGCATTTGCATGTGAAGCCTTTATAGTACTTGGCTTCAGTTTTCCTGCACCCGCTGTTCTGACATCATGCTCTCCTCTTTCCCATAGGTGTATAATCCAACAGGTTTGACACTTAGTAGGGAATCATCCTACATTCCAAGGCCTGGTCTTCTAGGGTGGCAATCTCAGTGCCATCATATACCACCTGTATGGTGTGTGCCAAGTTATCTGATATCTCCATGTCTCTGTTGCCTTAGGCATTATGGAGCTAGTAATATAAACTACAGGAGATACATGAAAGGATTAATGAGTTTACATGAATAAAACATTTAAAATAATTCACATTCTAGTGGTAAGCCGCATGTGCTATTAGAGATAAAGCATTTCTTCTGTATGTGCATATATTTTAAATTTATTGTACTATAAGTAAATTTTATTGGGCTATATTTAGATCCATTTCTAGTCTTTAAAACTGAATATGGTATCTTTATAATCCATTCTTATTGCTATATGTTTTTATTTTTCTGCACAGTATACCTTAGTATACATATACTGGATTTATTCACCAGTGATACAATTAATTTGCCTATAACCCAAAACACTGCTAGTTCCTCTGTTAAAACGCATTCTTTAAAATCATATATATACTGGATTTATTATATACTGGATTTATTCACCAGTGATACAATTAATTTGCCTATAACCCAAAACACTGCTAGTTCCTCTGTTAAAACGCATTCTTTAAAATCAGTGGTTCTCAAACTTTAGTAAACATGCTCTGCTGTGCTGGTTAGAACACAGATCACTTGCACCCCTAGTAGGTCTGGTGGAACCTGAGAATTTGCATTTCTAAGAAGTATCTTGGTGATGATGAGGCTGGTCCAAGCACCACACTCTGAGAATCATTACTAAATGTGTTTAGACATTTTTTTTCTGAGGCTTATCCCCCAGAGGACTGATGGATCTTAGAGCACATACACATTTAATTCCATTGATGGCCCTCCAAAAGTCTACTCCATTTACATTCTTTTTGAAGATTATAGGAATGCCCTCGTATAGTCTTGTCAGGCATCATATTAGCTAGCTTTTTCATTTTTGTCAGTCTGATGACCATAAAATAATCTCACAAACTCCTCTCAGTTAGTCATCATTGTATAAATTATTGGGATCCCCTTCCATCAATTCCCTTTTTACTTATATTCCCGACCTATAGTTGCCCTGTTTCCACGTCTTTTTTATTATGTAAAAAAATCCTTTATAGCAAAGATGCTAATCAATTTTTGTGTTATGATGTTGCAAGTTTCAGCTTATTCTGCACCACACAAAAATACTTAAATGTTCATGTAATCAATCCATTAATGAATTTACATCACTTTTTTTGTTTAAAGTTTTATAATTTCTTACTTTTCATTTAAATTTGTTTCATATTTAGTAACAATCCCAATTATCACTTCTATTTAGTGGTTCTCATGCTAACACCATCTACTGAACAATCCATCCTTCATCCATTGGTTGGCAAGTTTCCTATTAATTCAAGTCTTTTTATGTTGTTAAACTTTTATGAATTGTTTATAAATGCTCATGGAAAGTTTTAAATTTTTTCTCTTAAAGAGTTTTATCCATTCCTTGTTATTTCCAAGAGAGAGCTACATTTCACTGCTATTGGAAGTGGTTTCTGGTTTGTATTATATTCTCTAGGTGACTCTTAAGTAGTAGAGGAAAAAATGATAATAATTCTGTATTGACCTTAAATTCTATAACCTTGATGAACTCTTCTCCCCTATTCTTATATTTCTAACTTATTTTTTGCTATCTTATTGTATTGTCTAGGGCTTATAATCCATGGTGTCTCACTTATAGTATATTTTCCTTGATTATGAATTTAAAGGTAATGTGTCCAAACTTTTCCCATTTTTTGTTGTATGCTATAGTTTCAACATACAGCTGTTATCATGTTAAGATATCCTTCCTATCCTTAGTTTTTAAACATTTTTAAAATCTTAAGCAATTTATTATAAACATAATTTTCCCACGTACAGAAGTTATCATGTGATTTTCTCTTTTAGCCCTTTAATGTGTTAAAAATAAACTGACAAATTTTAAGTGCTCTGCATTCTTGAAATTGGCTACTTGATCCTGATATATTATTGGATTCAACTGGGTAATATTTTATTCAGAATTTTAGAATCTATAATCAAGAATAAAACAGATCTACAATTGTTCTTCTCTTACTACTCTCGTAATACTTATTGGAGTCAGCATAATGCTCAATAAAAGAACTGGACTGCATCCCTTAGCCTAGTTTTTAGAACAACTTGCTTAATGCTTAGTTGAAATCTCTTATGACGTCAATTGGATGTAATTGCTTTTAATGATTAGGAAAGATCTACAATTAGTATTTAATTTATTAAATAGAGTTAAGTGTTCATTTTAACTATACCAATGTGCAAATTTTTTTCCTCCCAGAGTTGGTCCTGGTTTGGAAATCCATTGATATATAAGTTCACAATACATTTTATTTTAATGCATTAAGATGTGTAGTTATTGTTTTATGACAATTTTGTTTGACTGTACCATCCCTCTTAATTTGATAGTCACTATTAACAGACTTTTACCTCTCTCTCCCTTTTAGTAAAAAATATTTTCAAGCATCTTGCTTTGGCTTTGTTAACCTTGTCTAGTTTTTTCTCTTCTTTTTCTATCCTCTATTCTTCTTGGATTTATTTTGTTTGTCCTCTCATTTATTGAGTTAATGTTTAGCTCACTTTTCTATTCTTCCTTTTTATAATTTATCTTCTAGAATACATAATTAGCTCACTCAACCAACTCTGATCTCCTGCCCCGCCTTCACTCTGACATGTCAGTAGCACCTAGAATTGTAATCTGATTGCTTCTAATGTAGTTATATCTCATTGTTTCACTCCATTGGGGTCTTTAATTCAGTTTTGTTGGTGAGAAGTCCATTGCCAATCTGAGTCCTGACCTTTTCTCTAGATCATTTCAAATTTTCCACATTGCCAGTAATAGCTCTAAAGTGTGCTATAATGAGACTTTAGATATGGAACTTTTCCCCTCAGGTATTCTGTTAGTCCCTTGACCTGAAACTTTTCATATCTCCCACCCTGAGAAATTCTCAGCCACTACTACCTCAAATGTTTTCACCTGTCTATGTATTTTATTATCTCTTCGAGGCTCACTTTATGTAAGACATAATAAAATGTCTATTTCTAGTATCCATATATCTTATAACTTACTTTTACATTTTCCTTCTTATCCTTTGCAATACTTTCTGGGATAGTTTTCACTGTGACCTTCATCAGCTCTTCAATCATTTGTTGATATCTTTACGTCAACTGCTTGAGTTTTCCTATAATGCAGCATGAGCTGATATTGAATCTAAGCTCTAGTTTCTATTTCATGTGGTGAGGGGCACACTCAGAGTTATCCAGCATTCTTGCAACTTCTCACCCTAGTAGAGGCATGGAAGGAAGAGAGGCTTTCTATGTCTGAAGAGGGAAAGTGGACAAGAGAATTCTACATTGTTCCATCTACCCTCAATGTTACCCAATACCCAACTCTCTCCTGCTTTTTCCTTTTCAACCCCCCAAATACTGGAATCCAACCACACTCTACTGTTCCAGGGGTTTCTAAAGGCTTTACATGGTCATGTCATTCCCCCCCTCCCCATAGGTAGCTATTCCTCTTCTTCTAGGTCTACCACATTTCTGGTATAGAGGTCTGGTATAGAGGTCAACAGCTCTTGATTTCTATGTCAACTTGTAAGAAGAGGAATTAATTAACAGTGATTTCCAGAAACTGAGTTTTTAGGATTATCAAGGAAGAATGCATTCTGCAGAAAAAAATATTTCTTATTTGAGGATGTGAAGGCTTAATTTTAGAAGGAATAGAATATCAGGGAGCTGGCCTCATGGGGGAACAAAATATACAAAGAGGCAAAGAAACTACCTGTGAAAATATGTAGCTCCAACATTGGAACTCTTACAATCCAGGAGCTTGAAGAGTACGGAGGTAGAAAATTCCTTTGTTTTCATCCTCTCCTTTCTGATGTGCATTCCTTTTATGCTATAAGACATAATTCTGTGACTAATTTCTAGTTTTTAGTATCAAATTAAGCTGTGCACTTATTTACCTTTTTCCCCTCTTCTTCTTCTTCTTTTTTTTTTTTGCTCATTCCCTCAGAATCAACCTACCGACACCAAGCAAACATTGATGATGAAGTTGTTACCATGGAGATACTAGACACTGCTGGCCAGGTAAATAAAGAATTCAATTAACATATTTTCAGATTCAAATAAAAATGAGATGTATATAATGTGAATAAACCTAAGATAATTTCCTATAACTAGCTAGTGATAAATAGACATTTCTTAATTATCTATTTATTTTCATATATTAGTGTATTCACAACTGCCTCTGCATATTGCTTTATTAATTACCCAAAACTTAAAGGAAATTTTGGAAATATGTCATAACATGGAATTAACTAAAGTAGAATTCCTACCTATATTTTGTAGGCTAGAAAGATGTTAGTAGATTTTCATGATTAAATGTGTTTGGAAATGTTCTGTACAGATATCTTTAAGAAAGACATTCTCAAAGTCTTTAATGTGCTATATATAAGGTGAGATTAACTACATATTACATTTAGACTTATATGACCTGAGATCATTTTGTAGAACATTTCAGAAGTGTCTCCTCTAATCTTCTTTCTAGACCTTACCACATCCTATTAAAAATTTGAACAAAATCATTGAACAATACCAACAACTAGTTTTAAAGTAGTGGTTACCAAGGGAAGGCGATGAGGTGGAGGAATAAACAGAAGGACTCAACAGGATAATAGTGTAAAATAAGTAGACCTTTGTTTGTTGGATGTGGTGTGGTATATGGTATATACACTGATCAAAGTGTGAAGTTATAGTCCTGAAGCTGATATGTATTATAAACCAATGGTATGTATACACACACACATACACACACACATATATATATGCCATATATATGTACTGTATACTTTTATATGTGTGTGTATATATATATGTACACATAAATATAAAGTATATATACATGTATATATACTTTATTTTTTAAAAATGAAACATGTAAGTTTGATTAGAGTTCAGTCATTTCTAAAATTACAAAAGGATTCAAAAAGAGGAAAGAAGGCATTAAGAATCTCCAAGAAGCTTTACCAGTGATTACATTCCCAGTAATATTTGAATTGAATTATCTAACCCAAGAAATATTCTTGAAAGTAATCACAAGCTTTTCCTCCTTACTATATATGCTCTCATCCTCTGACCCACCAGTGCTCTATGCTTCTAAGATAAGAGGCAGCAGGGTTGTACATGCCTGCAGAAGTCATTTGAGTCAGTACAAGCAATACATTTTCAAATCACTCATGTAACCTCCCGGGGAAAGAGTGAGAACCTCTTCAACTGAATTTCTATCATCATTGAAACTGCACTCGTTTGGGAGTGTTGGCATGGAAAAACAGAGAAAGGCAAAACCTCCTTTGAGTTTCTATCCCAATTTCACTGCTCTTCTTGTTCACTGATCTTTTGTTTTACCCTGGTACCTACTTGTCTATCATCTCAAGAAAAAGCAGATTAAATAAAAAAGCAAACCATTTCTCTAAACTGTGCCTCTAATTCTGATCTCTAAAGAGTGGGATTATGGCCACTTGTTCAGTGCATATTTGCCAATTCTTTCTAGTGAGGAAAGCCTTTGACACAATGTTCTCAAGTAAGTAATGTGTAGTTTCACAACTGAAGATTTAAATATATGGCAAGAAACAACTGGAAACAAAATAAAAACCTGAGCAGTTATAATTAATTTACTTCCCTGAAAGAGCTTGCTATGTGGAAGTGGTGCTTCCATTCCAAACTCACAAAGAAGGCCAGGTTGGCCAGGCAGATTACCCAATCTAAGGAGCATATCGCTATCGAATAGAACAGTGAGTGAGGTATTACTGCTAACATTAGTAGCATCTCTATAACTCGATGACTTCTAGGTCTGCTGACTGCAGTCTGTCCTTGCCAACAGGAAGACACCATACAGAGAGAAGGACACATGCGATGGGGGGAAGGTTTTGTGCTGGTCTATGACATTACTGACCGAGGGAGTTTTGAGGAAGTTCTACCACTTAAGAACATCCTAGATGAGATCAAAAAGCCCAAGAATGTGACTCTCATCTTGGTTGGAAATAAAGCTGACTTGGACCACTCCAGACAGGTTAGTACAGAAGAAGGGGAGAAGCTGGCCTCAGAGTTGGCATGTGCTTTTTATGAGTGTTCTGCCTGCACTGGAGAAGGGAACATCACAGAGATATTCTATGAGCTCTGCCGGGAAGTGCGTCGGAGGAGGATGGTCCAGGGCAAGACAAGGCGACGCAGCTCCACCACACATGTCAAGCAAGCCATTAACAAGATGCTCACCAAAATCAGTAGTTAGGCAGCTCAGTGCTGGGGGAGACCCTGCTAAGATGGGTCAGGTTATTGGAAACACTCGCTTGTCCTCCCACTTTGCTCTCCCCCCCACAAAAGAAAAACCCCACTCCTTGTCCTCTAGAAAATATCTCTGCTTCCCATTATCCCCTGCTTCCCACATGTTGAAAAGACATAGAGTGTATTATGCAATGTCAATGCTGCCAATTTCTCCCATTCCGGCTTGAATATGCTTTAATCAATTTAAAGTTGTAATTGCCAGAGATTCTGAAATGGCTGGGTTCATATTAAGCTATTATTAGGCACCTTCACGTTGCTTCAATAGAGTGAAGTCTTTTCAAAGGCATTTTTGAATCCCATTCCTTGCCAAACTACATATGATCTTCTTCAAAGTATAAGATAATGGAAAATAAAACACACACACACACACAGGAGGGTCGCTGAGCTAGTGGAGCAGGGAATAAAGCTCTATAAGGCTCCTATTTGAAGCAAGGATTTTCTGAATTATCTTAAATCATTGAGTTTTTCTTTAACCTTTATTTTGTTCTTAAATTCAAACATGTTCTCACAAGGTTTCCTATGGTAATAGAACATTCCATTTCAATTTGCATTGGTTCTCTTGATGATGTATTGATCTTTACACTGTCATTCTTCTTAGGCTCAAGCAAGATTTAATTATAATAGAGGTAGCAGAGCTCATCAATCCCAATAGGAATTTCTCAGCAAGCCTGGGGTGACGTGAAGACATTAAGAATGCTTTCACCAAATCCTATTTTACTGAATGTTAATAGGAGACTTAGAATTAGAAATTCGCAAGTCATTTCTCTCTCTGCTTAACAACCTAGAAGACAAACAGTCCCCAAAACAGGAAAACAAAGAACAAAGCTTAATGACCCACTCACTGTGGAGCCAAGGCTTTGTTATATGCCAAGCACAGTAAGACAAACTTAGACTCTAACTCATTAAGTTGACCACAGGTCCTTTTTTAATGTTCTGCATAGACTAATTCACTTAAGCAAATTCAGAAAAGAGTGGGTGATTTAACTTCACTGTACCTGAATAACTATGTATGAAGCAGATTCTTATATTGTCAAAGAACAGTCTAACTGATAAAACCCTGCGATTCTTTTTTTCCCTATTATGCCCCCCACATATCAAGATTTAGGCACTTTATTTTAGAAGAAAATATATATCTTTTACATATGTGTGTATTTATAAATGATAGATATATGTATAAAAATTTGTAAGAGTTGGATGCTTTAATTCACCAATGCATTTGAACAACTTGGTGTAGTTATTTTACGTGAATATAATAAAAATAATAATTTTCACATTCTGGCAGTCTTTGTTTTAATAGCACAAAAATTTTGTCATTTATGAGAGACTTGAAATACAATCAATTGCAGAATTAATGAGTCAATAAATGTGATATAAAAATAAGCTCCTTAATCGTATTTTAGGTATTTAACCTATTATCTTATCAAATCTTCACAATGATCCAATCAAGAGAGATTAAGTAATATGATCCCAATTATAGCGATGAAGATATTGAGCCACACAGATAAACAAGTTTGCTTTTGAACAATATTTAGTGAGAACAGCCAGGATTTGAACTTAGAGTGTAAGTACCCCCAGAGCCATACCATGATTACTGACATATATTAGCAGACTAAGATGTGGTTCTGTTCTTGAGCTAGGGGGATGAATACACAGGAAGCAGAGTGGTAAATCACCTTCATTTATACAGTCATTTATTCATTAACAAACATGTTATATATGTTAGACTTATAGCTTGCCACAAGTTAGTCCACTTGATAGTGCACATGTGCTGAACCTTGAAAAGTATACACAAGTTTCTGGTTAAAAGAAATAACATGAAAGGTTATGGAGAGTGCAGTAATTCAAAGCAGCTAGAAAGTCATATATATCATCCTTCAAGTAAATAAAAAAAAAAGAAAGAAAGAAAAGATAACAGAGAGAAGGAACTGAAAGAAAGAAAAAGATCAAAGGGTATGGAAGAAAAATCTCAAAAATTCATTAAACTGGAAGTTTAGGTAACTATCTAGTAAAGGATCACATAGATAAATTTAACAGTGATTTATTTTCAAAATGTCTATTTTGACCAGAGGGGAAGGGAAAGAAAGGTAAAGTTATATTCCAATGTTGCTATTTTCTAGGACCACAGTCTCTTTCATTCTCTCAGCTCAGCTAATTCCTGTCAAGAGCAATGTCTTAAGGGGACAATGTGAAGTGCCTGACTAAAGTGCTATCTGAGGTCGAACACTAAGAAAGTGAAATTCACAGTCACCAACAGCAGCAACCTCCCTGGACACATGCATACAAATCCAGACCTGTTAAGCATCATAGAAATACTGGCAGAGTCCTATGCGCTGATTACAGAAATGAATATGAGATTGCACAAATATAATAAACTAAGTATTTCTCTCATGCCCAGGCTTCTCCAAAAATAACGTTATAAACAAGCTCAGTTTTTTAAGCAGTACTTCACTGATGTAAATGTATTTGTTCTTAATAATAATGACGACATGTCACCATATCTACCACTACCAACACTTGCTGTTTGCAGTTGCTTTGCTTTGCTTCTAAGATTCAAGAGTTTCCCTTTAACTATTGGATCTGTACTCACATGCCTCCCAGCATAGAAGGAAGGAACTCAAAAATCCCGCTTTGGGTTGCAATGTGATTTTACAATCTCCTACTAGGCTCCCAAAGTTCCCATGTTGGTACTTTTATACAAGGGTGAATGCTAAATTATGGTTACTGAAGGGGGAATTTGTATAAGAGACATTCCACTTGGTTATCTTATAATATCACTTCTTAATAAATTAAGCTATATTTGTTTGAAGGCTGAGTTTCATTGTCATTCATGACAATGAAGAAACATACATATTGCTTCAGTAGGGGTAGAGGTTTCTGGTTTTTCAGTGTTAAAGTGTTTTATTCATCTGGCCATGATGGAGTAACAGGTACCAGATTCACCCTGTTGTATTAAATTAGATACAATCAGATAAAATATATGAAATACAGTTTTCAGACACTAAGCAACAAGAAGTACAGGGGACATAAGGCAATGCATAGGATCTAAAAAGGACATTGTGTTAGTTGAGTCTAAACAACTGCTAAATACCTGACCTAAGAAAATTTAAAAGCTCAGTTTTCAAACTGAGCTCAGGTAATTTGTACCCTAGAAAAATACTCAACACATTATACAAACGTATACAACAAAACTCTGCAACCAGCAAGATAAAAATTGAAATGTCTGGTATCTGATCTAAAATTGTCTGAGCATCATGCATGTTAAGAAACAGAAAACTATATTCCACAAATAGAATAAAAAGTAATCAATAGAAACACATCAAGCAATGACAGATGATACCATTAACAAACAAAAAACTGAAGATAGTATTATAAATATTCCCCATATGCTCCAGAGGCAAAGATAGTCATGAACATTATGAGAACAGACATGAAAGCCACAAAAGAGACCAAATGTAACTTCTAGAGATGGAAGTTTTTATGTGAAATAAGAAAAAGAGTAAGATTAACATCTGATTAGAGTATAAAGAAATGGCCAGTGAACTTGATGACAGAGCATTGTAAGTGATTAAAATGAAATAAAAAGAGGGGAAAAGATGAAAAAATGAATAGTCAACAACCTTTGAGACAAAAATCAAACAACCTAATATATATGTATGTATGTATACATATATGTGTGTGTGTGAATATAAATTATATGTATATGAATTTCCAGTAATAATAAAAGAGAGGAGTGGAGTCACAGAAAAAAAAATTTGAACCAATAATAACTGGAATGCTCTCAAATTATAAGCCTGCAGCATCAACACAACAGAGACCTCATGAAATAAAAAGCTGATGAAAAAAACCCCATGGTACATCAAAATCAAAGTTCTGAAAAGTAACAATCGAGTGAGTAAAATTAACCAAGGCTATAGGAGGTGGAAACACATAGCAGAAGAAAGATATGAATGATAAAATATAACTGTATTACTTGAATGTGGGCAGTGATGAGCTAAATTTGTATATTGTAAATCTTTGATCAGCCATTAAAAATATAAAGGAGAGGCCCTCCCTGGTGGCGCAGCGGGGTAAAGCACAGCACTAAGAAGCTTAAGCCACTTCCGCATGAGTTCGATTCCTGCCTGCCCCGGAGGAGATCCACATGGCACGGCAGACCTCTCCTGACCCGCCCGCTGCTCCCCTTAGATCATCTGCCTGCTCTGTGCCCCACTCTGTCCCTGGTGAATTCTCTCACCCTCCGCATCTCTGGCTTGTACCCCAATTCTGTATGAATAAAATAAATAAATCTTTTATATATATATATATAAAGGAGATAGACCTAATAATTCTCTAGTGCATATGAAATTAAATTAGAAGAACTGATTCAAAAGGCAGAAAAAGAGGAAATAAGGAATATAAAATAAATGCAATAAACAGAAAATAAAGAGCAGGATGGTAGCTTTAATCTTAATCATATTTGTAAATATATCTATTGTAAATGGTATAAACACTAAATACAAAACAATTTTTTGGAGTGAATAAAGCAAAGGCCACCTATGGGCAATCTATCAGAAATCCATATTAACAATAGATATTATAAGTTAAAAATAGTCTTACTGGGCCCTCCCTGGTGGCGCAGCGGGTTAAAGCACAGCACTAAGAAGCCAAAGCCACTTCCGCATGAGTTCAATTCCCGCCTGCCCCGGAGGTGACCACATGGTGTGGCAGACTTCTCCTGACCCGCCCGCTGCTCCCCTCAGCAGTGTACTTCGTAGATCTGCCTGTTCTGCTCCCCACTCTGTCCCTGGTGAATCCTCTCACCCTCCGCATCTCTGGCCTGTACCCCAGTTCTGTATGAATGAATAAATAAATCTTTAAAAAAAAAAAATAGTCTTACTGGCCCTCCCCGGTGGCGCAGCGGGTTAAAGCACAGCACTGAGAATCTAAAGCCGCTTCCGCATGAGTTCAATTCCCGCCTGCCCCGGAGGTGACCACATGGTGTGGCAGACTTCTCCTGACCCGCCCGCTGCTCCCCTCAGCAGTGTACTTCGTAGATCTGCCTGTTCTGCTCCCCACTCTGTCCCTGGTGAAGCCTCTCACCCTCCGCATCTCTGGCTTGTACCGCAGCTCTGTATGAATAAATAAATATAAATCTTAAAAAAAAAAAAAAAGTAGTCTTACTACTGACCTATAAACCACATAAACAATAATCAAAGAAGTTGCAAGTAGCATGAATATCACACAAGGAAATTTTCAGAGGAAGAAAATGAACAAGAATAAAGAGACAACCTTTCATTAAAGTAAAGGCAGCGATTCAAGAAGAGAGAACATTTCTGTGTATGCACCTAATAAAATTTCAATATACAAAAAAAATTGTAAAAGTGAAAGGAGAAATATATCACTTCATCTCTCAATAACTGATAAACAAAAAAAATCAGTAAGGAAGATGTAAACAATATTATCAGTTAACTTGACCTAATTGATATTTACATAAAACTACACTGACAAAGGCAAAATATACATTCTTTTCAAGTATACACAGAACACTACAGCAGGTTGGGCCATAATATAAGTCAGTAATTTTAAAACAATTTACATTATGCAGAATGTTCTCTAACTTTACCAAAATTAAAGTACAGTTACCAATACAAAGATAACTGGGAAAAAGCCCAATATCTGCAAATTAGACAAGACTCTTCCAAATAACCCATATAATCCAAAGACCAAAGAAAAAATTAAATAACAAGTTAGAAAATGTTCTGAACAGAATAAAAATAGAAACATAACACATCACAATTTGTGGGATACAACCAAAGCAATACTTAAAGAAAAATTGTACTTATTTCTTAAATTAGAGAAGAAAATAAGTCCAAAATTAACATATCATTCTGATAACATTAATCTGATAACAAAACCAGAAAAATCACCTTACAAGAAAAGGAAACTACAAACCAATATCTTTCATGAACACAGAAACAAAACCCTTACCCAAGGTTTATAACTCAAAATCACACATATAAACATATACATGGTAGCCAATTTATACCAGCAACAAAAAAGAAAACTTCAGACCAATCTCCCAAATGAACACCGATGCAAAAATCCTCAACAAAATCTTAGCTAACAGAATCCAACAATGCATTAAAAGAATAATACACCACAATCAAGTGGGCTTTATCCCAGGAGCACAAGGATGGTTCAACATCAGAAAATCAATTAATGTAATCCATCACATCAACCGACAGAAGAATAGAAA